GGGGAGGGGTAGCCGAACGATCCTATAAACCACATTATTCATATCTGAATTGTGGTTAAAAATTGTAATATATAAAGTATGTTATAATAGCTTTTCAAACTCTAATTACGTGTATTCTTACCGTTAGAGCCCGATATGGTATATGAGATATCGCTGAAGATGTCGTGGGAGAAGTACGTAATGTTCATGGGATCACTTTTTGGGCTATGGTTTGGTCTATCAATCTTCCTATTACTAAATATTGATCAAGCATTTAGTTTTAAAAACATTACTATTATATGGATTATTATAGCTTACGTATAAAATAACTACTATGTATTGAATTGGAAAATATTGTCCAACAAATTGTATAGCCATCTGTATAAGTAATCATTGGATGGCTTTACAATTTGGTGGACCATATATTCCCAGTGGTCGACCGCACAACTTATGCAAATTAATGTGCTAAAAATCCTGCTATTACATTTATATTATTACATTAACCAGTTATTTAAATAATTGATCATTGTAATATTGAAATAGTGTTTATAAAGTTTCGTAAATTAAAAATTATGCATTAACATTTGATGAATGGTAATAAACACTGTTTCAATCATGATAAAACATTTTACGCTTGTAAATGCGAGTGTATAATTAAATCACATGTCAACAAGTATTCAAAATCACCCGATCACATTTTGTATGTCAGTACCGATCGATTGACCGATAGTAATAATCGTAGCATTTATTTCACCGATAAATACAACACTAGTGTTGAGAAGGAATGAAAGCGCCGGTGCGGCCGCTATGTTGAGAGCGTACAACACTATTATAGCGTCGATAACACGGTATCTAATGTCAATGGGTATGGTAATAATTTTTACATGTACTTTGAAATACCGTCGACTCCAGAAATAATTTACACAATTACACGAAAAATGTTTGTCGAAGAGTATCTGTGCTTTTTGTGCACTATTATGGGCCTGTGGTTCGGCTTCTCTGTACTGATGTTAACACGAGTTTTGAGACAATTTTGTCGTAAATATGTTCTAAATTTTATATCGAAACGAAGCGTTAATTTTCTCAAAACTAATATTAGTAATAATCAAATTATTTTGCAAAATATTAGTGTAAACCACAAACAAATGCCTAAATTATTTACACGAAGACAATCACTAAATATATTATTTATAAATATTAAGATTTATATACACATAATTGACTATTTGGTTGGCCTTATGAAAAGTTAAACATAAACCTAATGATTTTACTAAACAAAATATATTTCGTCATGTTTTAAATTTAATATTAAACTTATATAATTATACTTGAGATTTAGATAAAAAATGTACATAGATATTATTCACAAGCAAAAAATCTTTATATTTATTAATGAATTAAAATAAACAATAGCAAATAAAATGGATAACACATTAGCCACAACGCAAACCTCTCCAAATCAACGGATATTTCGCTTTAATCCATTGGTTACGACTATCGGCGCAATCAATGCTCTCATCAAACACTTTATTCATTGAATTTTCCGACAAAAACACTTCAAATACATTGCGATCCAAATATTTCGTTGACTGCGTTCCCAACGTTATAGTCGTCGGGCAACCGATTGACTCAAACGACCGGTTATTGAACGTAGTGTGCGGTTGAGTTTGAAAATCAATTTTAAATTCATACGGTGTAGATTTGCGGCCAACAGTAAATGCGTGGTCGGCCACATTATCAATTGTACTACTGTCGGTAAATTGCAAATATAGCATACTGGGCAAATTGTTAAACGCGTTGTGCATAATTGACTTAATGGGATTGCCATCAAACCAGACCTCGTACAAATTTTTTAGACCATGCAAACCCATTGAGGGCAGATTGTTTACGCCGGTGCGCCTAAAGTATAGCGTTTTCAAGCCCTTCAACGTGGATATGGCGCCAAACAGGTTCCAGTTGCCGGCCACGTGTTCGGTCACCGGCACGTGGTGTATATCCACGCGGTTTATCGTTGCCACTGAGCCGTTGAATGCATTTACGTGTATACGCGTCAAACTTCGCGAAAAGCGTTTCGTATAGAAATAATGCTTTTTCTATGGATTTCTAAAATTTTAATAAATGTGTTAAATTGTTGTTAAAAATGTTTAAAATTCTAAAATAACAATATTTAAAGTAACCAAACAATAGCTTTGAAAATATTAAAATCTTTAATTAATTCCCGAATTGTGGTTAACGTATAACATTGCTGGGTGAACACCACTTGAATGAATACTATAACAACTTATTCCGTAAGAGACCGGATGAGGACCGGGAGAAACGCAAACAAGAGGGCTGTCTATTGTCGCACATTCCCGATATGTGTACGTGTTTTACATCGAGCCTATTCTGTGAGCACCAGAATCTACTCCGTGTGCCACCAGATCTGCCGCAAGACATCACTGATTTGTATAACATTTACTAATATTATTATAGAATAATTTAATTATTAAATTCTTCCTTTAATTCACTCCTGATTTGAGTGCAATTATATTATGGGTTAAACAATTGTCTAATAATTTAATTCAATATTTAATTGAACTATAAATTTTAGTTATCTATATTATTAAAAGACTGGATGTTTTTATTCTACATGTTTAGTTTATAACGTAAATATAATCTTAGATATTATTATTAATGCTAATGATGTGATTTATTTTAGGGATCTTTCAGGAAATTTTCTCACATCTCTTACAGCAAAAAGTTTTCCCAAAACATACAATGAATTGAATCGTTTGTAAGTATTCTTTTTGCAAAGGGATTAATTTTATTGTAATTTTTAATTTTAACATACTAGCAGTCAGCCCAGTCCACAATATCTGTTACTCATTCTCTCCCCCATTCTATTCCACTCAATAGTGTCATTACCCTCCCACCCCCTATTGTATGTAACGCGTTTTTCGCGTTCTCTCATTTTTGTTCTATTCTATAGGAGATTTCTAAAACAAAGGAAATATTTTTAAAATATTCTTTTATTTGAAATAAAGTTAATGTTTACAACAAAAATAATATTATATTTAGTTATATTTTATATTCTCATAGTTGTATTCACATTGAATATAGCAAATAATATTATAATAAACGTTACTTTATTACAAATTTTAAACTTATTTATATTTTAGTTTTAATAATTTCCACTTTATTTCTAAAATCTATTATTTAAATGTAAGTAGAATTCTGACGGCAACTGATATTATGTCGATTGATAAAAAAACATTTGAGAATATGAAACGATTGCAATATCTGTACTTAAGTGGCAATAAGATATCCATTATTAAGAGCAACACTTTCCATACAAACCATATATTGGAACTTTTGTAAGTGTTAATTATAGAGATATAATACTAACTATAATATATTATATCAATACTCATAATTGTCTGAATGACTCTTTGAAATCAAATTAATTTTTGCAAATCTTATAATTTATTTGTGTAATAGAGTTCTCTCTCATAATCCGATCACTAATTTGGAGCCAAATTCTTTCGATGGTTTGACAAACTTAACTGAATTGTATGTTTTGTATTCAGTAAATAACATTATATGATATGATATATGATTAAAAACACATCTATATTGCAGAGATCTAAGAGACTGTCGACTAAATCATTTGCCGCAACAGATATTCGATGAGTTGAAGAGTTTGGCAATACTTTGGTTGGACGGAAACCTATTGACGGATTTGCCGAGTGATGTCTTCTCTAATTTACATTATTTAGAGACTTTGTTAGTATTGATGCCCTGTTTTTGACACATTCATCATTAGAGCTATAATTTTGTTGATTTGCATTCACAACAGGTCTATATCGAGAAATCAATTACCATACGTCACGTCAGATATATTCTGGGGTTTGAATTCATTGAGATCTTTGTAAGTATAGCGTGAATGACATTTATTTGATGCAATTAGTTTGAAGTGCTATCATGTTTATACATACAAATTGTAGTGCAGTATAATATTGTAGCTTTGATTTACTGTATTGAGTCAATACAGTTGACTATTGACTATAGTTTGGAAAAATCAATAAAAGCTAAATATATTATCATTTATATTGAGATTTCAAATCCAATACTTTCACTACTGAACACATAAATATTTATAAACATTTCCTGATAAATTTAAATTTGGTTTAAGGTTATTAATTATTATTTTTATCATTATTCAATAGTTTAACAAATAAATATACTGTAGATAGTTATAATTTATAACTTATTATAAATAATATAACAAATCATATTAGTTGTTGAAACTTTAATAACAGGTTTGTATAATGTATGTTTGAGAATTATCAGTAAGCTTGATATAAATTGATAAACAATTATAAAATATTTTAAAATTAAATTCAATCCAAATAACAGATCATTGGCTGGAAATTCCATATCATATATAGGAGATAGTAGTTTTGGTGCAGAATTGAACTCGTTGTTGAAATTGTATGTTATATTACAATCGGTACCTTAATTCTAAAGTATCTCTATTTTGGATATTTTTCGCGGCAGAAATTGCATATAGAAATCAGATATAAGTTTATCGAGAGCTAAATCCCTCTGGAATATTCCACCGTGTTTCTAATAGTTTTAGTCATTTTTACTGTAACTCAAAGTTTTAAGTTTGTAATAATTTTTAACCACAATTCAGATATGAATAATGTGGTTTATAGGATCGTTCGGCTACCCCCCCTCCCCCTCCCCCACCCTATGGAAAATAACATGGAATCCCATGTTAATCCTATGGCTATACTTTAACATGGGGAAGCTCTCATAGGATAACATGGGAAACACTTTTGCTATGGGAAAATGCGATTACATGGGTTTCTATAAAATTACAGCTTAAGTCTATGGCATAGAAATAACATGGGCAATGATAAGTCTATGGCAATGCTAATCCTATGGGTAATGGTAAGTCTATGGCAAGGGATAACATGGGTAATGATAAGTCTATGGCAATGATAAGTTTATGGCAATGATAAGTCTATAGGTAATGCTAAGTCTATGGGTAATGCTAAGTCTATGGCATAGGAATAACATGGGTAATGCTAATCTATAGAAGTAAAGTCATTACAATTGGATAATGCTTTTCTTTGGAGATATACTAAATGAATCTTCCATAATAAATAGAACTAATTGTTGTCAAAAACATTTAAAATTCTCAAAATAATAATAGTGAAAGTATTATAACAATAGTATTGAAAAATTAAAAATCATTGATGCATTCCCCGAATAGTGGTTAACGTATAGCATCGCTGTGTGATCCTTGTTTAATATTGAGACAGATACGTACTCTAAGCGTAATCTTATAGATATGCTTTCAAAAATTGTTATATAGTTAACCTAGCACAAGTATGTGTACTTAATGTATATTTCTACGAATTAATTAAAGAAATCCTGATTGAATCGATAAATCAGACAACACTTTACTATATAAGCAATTGATTTAAACAAAACAAAATACACTTTTGGTTGTATATATCCATTGATCGTTTCAAATACCAGAACATAATGTTGAAGATTGTATTAGTATTGTCTGCGGTCGCCCTTTGTTGCGGTTTGTACGCATTATATATTTAATCATAAATTAATAATATATTTTGATATTTATTGCATTAAATATTTCTATTTGACAATAGCCTGGGCCACACCCGCTCCGACACCCGTCCCAACACCCACTCAAGATCCGGTGGACTTCTACTGTTCCCGAGACGGATATATGCCCTATAGTTTAGATACCCATAAGTTCTATCAGTGCGAGAGTATTGGACCCCATAAGTGGAGACTCACTCTAGAGATCTGTCCGGTAGGCCTCGTCTGGCATCAAGAGCTCAAGAGATGTGACTTTGAATAATTGAACAACAATTTAATGCCAATGGTTTCCTTCAATTATTAATTATAGTATTAATTTTTGCTTAAGATTTAATGTAATATTTAATGCAAATATAACAATAAATTTTGATGAAATTATATGCATATTTCATGTGTACTTCATACATACAGTAATGTAAAGTAAAGTATATGACAATTATTTTTATAATTATTAACGGCTATTTTGAATAATAGATGAAAAATCATATACAGTTAGCGTTGCCAGAAAATATATTGGATATCCTGAATAATTGTGAAAATTTTACCATAAATTCCTGTATTTTCCTGTATTTCATTGTTTTTTTAATTAAAACTTCAAATTCATACAATTTTTAAAGCATTATACTTTTGCGAAAATTCGAGTGTTTATACAATGTCTTTAGAATTGAATTAATCAAGTTTAAATTTATTTAATTTCTAGCATTAGTTCAGATTGTGGATGAACAGTAGGTGTACCGGACTAATATTCTTAACAAATCTGAATATTTTAGTCTATTGTTTATTGCTAAAATATTTATTCCTGTATTTTTCAATGTACAGGAATGACACCTTCCTGTACTCTGCAATATTCCTTAATTCCTGTATAATACAGGTCACTCCTGTATATCTGGCAACGCTATATACAGTAAGTATTATAATTAAATTATATATAAATTTTATAATATAAAGACAGATACTTACTCAAATTGTAATCTTATAGATATGTTTCCAAAAATTGTTATACAATGTTGTATTGTTAACCTAGCACAAGTATGTGTACTTAATGTCCATTTCTACGAATTAATTAAAACATTAATTGAATCAGATAAATCAGACAACACTTTACTATATAAGTGATTGATTTAAACAAAACAAAATACACTTTTGGTTGTATATATCCATTGATCGTTTCAAATACCATAACATAATGCTGAAGATTGTATTAATATTGTCTGCGGTCGCCCTTTGTTACGGTTTGTACTCATTATATATTTGACCAAAAAAAAATAATATATTTTGATATTTGTTGCAATAAATATTTCTATGAAACAATAGCTACACCGACACCACCACCCGCTCCAACACCCACTCAAGATCAGGTGGACTACTACTGTACCCGAGACGGGTACATGCCCAATTTAGATGTCCATAAGTACTATAAGTGCGAGCGTATTGGACCCCATAAATGGAGGATAATTCTAGTGCCCTGTCCGGTAGGCCTCGTCTGGCATCAAGAGCTCAAGAGATGTGACTTTGAATAATTGAACAACAATTTTATGATAATATTTTCCTTCAATTATTTGCCATAGTATTAATTTTTATAAATGTATAATTGAAAGAAAATACAACAATAAAATTGTGATTAAAATATGCATAATGCGTATACTTTATATAATGTATACTCTATGTTGAATTATTATATAATTACGTTTATTTTATATGAATCATTCATGTAAGTAGCAAAACATTTCGCTTCCAAAGTTATAATACTTTAAATGTTTGTTATAAACAGTTGTCCATCACTTCCATTAACCTTATTATTTATACACTTTACTTCATATAGTATTATAATTTATAATATATAAGACAGATAAGCACTCTTAAATGTAATCTTATAAATATGTCTTAAAGAATTGTCATATTGTTAACCGAGCAAAAGTACACAGTCCATTTCTACGAATTAATTAAAACAATCATGATTGAATCAGATAAATCAGACAACATTTTACTATATAAGCGATTGATTTAAACAAAACAAAATACACTTTTGGTTGTATATCCATTGATTGTTTCAAATACATAATGTTGAAGATTGTATTAGTATTGTCTGCGGTCGCCCTTTGTTACGGTTTGTACTCATTATATATTTGACCAAAAAATAGTAATATATTTTGATATTTATTGTATTAAATATTTATATTTGACAATAGCCTGGGCTACACCCGCTCCAACACCCGTCCCAACTCCTGACCCAACTCAAGATCCGGTGGATTTCTACTGTTCCCGAGACGGATATATGCCCTATCCTTTAGATCACCACAAGTACTATCAGTGCGAGAGTATTGGACCCCATAAGTGGAGAATATCTCTAAAGACCTGTCCAAAGATCTGTCTGGCATAAAGCGCTCAAGAGATGTGACTTTGAATAATTGAACAACAATTTAATGATAATGTTTTCCTTCAATTATTTGTCATAGTATTAATTTTTACTAAATATATAATTGAAAGAAAATACAACAATAAAATTGTGATGTTTATATGAAGTATATTATCATCTTTTACTTTGATTATTCTACCATCATGTATTCTACCACTGATTAATTCTTCAGATCAAACAAAATTGCAAACATTGTGTCAATTTTTACACAAAAATTTCCATTTTACAATTCTTATAACTAATCTATTTTATATGAAAATTATATCTGTTTTTCGTCATTCACTTTTCCTGATCCAAATTCAATTCACATACGATTTCAATCATCAGTAATTACAAAAATAGGCACCCTCCCATAGAAATACATTATTTTGCCTGATATCGTTGAAACATTTACTGTATACATGCTAATCATACCAGTGCTGTAGTGCCTAGGAATGTTACTTTAAATTATAAAATTAATTTCTTAAAAATATATCCACTAAATCTATACAAAAACTAACATACATGTATATCAAATGAGCTAATATTATTATGATTATTATTTGAAAACTAATATCCGCATTGAGTAATGTGGATGTGATAGTAAAATTACATAATAGACTATTAACACAATCCTTGCATTTACTGATATATGAATTAGTTTAATTAAATGTAAGTAAATGAGACGCAACTGTATTACTGTGTAAGTGTCCATTCAGTTGGTTTAATTCAATATTGGATGTGTTGACCAACGAGTGGGCAAATTATAAATTCAGAGATAAATTGCGTTAATAAATAATAATTGTCTGATATTATGTGTATAATTGGTATTATATTAAAAATTATCAAATATTATCATAATGAAAGTAAATAATAATTTAGCTCTTAAATGTGCAAAACACAAGTTTTCTTAGAATTTTTAATATCACTTTTATATCAATAAAATTATTTCAATTAAGGATTTATGGCTTACTATAGTTGAAGATATTATAGGTATTAAAAATATATTACAATTATAATAATTTTGCATTAATCCCAACAATATTTTAATCAATGTATTAAAGTGGTGCTCTCCACTTGAACTTCACTCCAATGAATTAATTGATATAGTGTAATTTAATAATTGAAATTTTATAATACATATAAATTAGCACAAAGTATTTACAAAAGTGTGCGAAACTCGGCATAAGTCAAGATATATTATAAAAATTGATATATTTAATGCAATAATGTAATCGATTTTTAAATCAGGAATTAACTGCCACTAGTATAACCAACTCTAATTTAAAAATAAATAAGATAATTTTAATTAAATCCCATAAAAATATAATAATTTTGCTGTAACATAATATAAGCACATCATATACTTTATTAGAGGACAATACAATAACAAACCATCCGAAAACGACAGATGGACACTCTATGGACAATCTTAACGATATGTTTTCAAGAAATGTTTATTGTCATCTGGACTAATTCACACAATCCCTTTCTATAAATTAATTAAAACAATCATGCTTGAATCAGACAATTCATATAACATTTTTGGTTTCAAATACCATAACATAATGTTGAAAATTGTATTATTGCTGTCGGCGGTGGCCTTTTGTTACGGTTTGTTCTCCTTATATATTTAATTATAAAATTCTAAATTCTAATTGTATTTCTATATATCCAGGCGTTGACCGAACTATTGACGACTACTGTCGAAAGGACGGCTACATTCCCGGCACAGATCCGCACGACTACTACAAATGTGAATACGTTCCCGACCAGTGCTGGAACAGACATCTGGAGCACTGCCCCGATGGCGGCACTTGGGATCAGTTCACCAAACATTGTACGCATACATTAATCACACATTAATATTTAAAGTTTAAATATAAATTTCTAAAATATTGATTTGAAACGATAGGTAAAGCTAAACCCACTACACAGGCACCCACAACCAAACCCACACCAGTACCCACAACACCGACACCCGTGCCCACAACACCCACCCCTAAACCGACAACACAGCCCATTCCCAGCACAACTCAGGATGACGTGGACTTTTACTGTTCCCGAGACGGATATATGCCCTATCATTTAGATATCCATAAGTTCTATCAGTGCGAGAATATCGGAC